GTAGAAGAGTTATGCAGATACTCGGAGGAGAGACCTAGCGTTTGAGAAAGGCGACCGGGTGTTTCTTAAGGTCACTCATTTCAAGGGAATTAGTAGGTTCAGCAGGAGGGAAAAATTAAATCTCCGATTTATCGGACCTTTTGAAATCTTAGACATGATTGGTACTGCTGCCTACAGACTAGCACTGCCTCTAGAGCTCTCCAGAGTCCACAACGTGTTCCACGTATCCATGCTACGTAAGTACAACCCGGACCCCTCTCATATACTGGCTCATGAACCGCTTCCACTCCAAGAGGACTTGTCTTATGAAGAAGTACCAGTCAGTATTATAGACCGAAAGAGCAGGATACTCTGCAATCGCGAAATATCATTTGTAAAGGTCGTGTAGCAGAACCACACGCCTAGGGAGGCTATCTGGGAGTTAGAATCGGATTTTAGAGCCCAGTATCTCCATTTGTTCGACCAAGAGTGAAAGACAAATTTGGGGGACCAAATTTCCTTAAGGGAGGGAGAGTTGTAACACCCAAAATATTTTTTTATATTATTTTTATTTTTATGTTTTTTTTGTATTTGAATTTTTTATATTTTAATTTAAATTAATTTAATTTAATTTCATGAAAATAAAAATAATAATAATGATAAAATTGGGTTAAAAAAATATTATTTGGATTTAATTGAAATTGATTTTGAAAAAAAAAAGGGTGAAAATTTGGATTCTGGGGGTGTTTTTGAAAAGAAAATCGAAAACCGGGGGTCAAAACGCAATTTAGAAAAGTTGTGCCATGTCAGCAGTCACGTCAGCAGCCCGGTCAGCAACCCCGGCCAAACAGGACACGCCGCGTGGCAAGAAAACGCTGACACGGGACGGGCCACGTGGGCGATCCGCGTGTGCGCGATCGGACGACCCAGATCCGTTCTCGCGCGCACGGACGGCCCAGATCAAACGTGAACACAAACAACCTAGATTTCACGCATACGGACGGCCCAGATCGCATCACGATGGACGGACCAGATTTAATCCCAATTAAATCGCGATCGGACGGTCCAAATTTAATCTTGATGGACGGTTGAGATTAAAAGGCAAAGGGTATAAATAACCCCACCCACACCTGACCACAAAACCCTAGCCGCCAGTGCCTCGCCGGAGAAGAAGAACCAGACACCGGAGGAGCCGGCCGCCACCACTCGCCGCTGCACCGGAGAAGTTTCCGATCGCCAATCGAGGTAAATTTTCTCCTCCTGGCTCATTTTTCGATGCTGAATCCGCCTATGGCCAAACCGGAACCAAACCACCAGCCAAACGGCCGAAAAATCCCGCCGAAGTCTGGCGGCGTCGTCGCGACTCCCCTTCGTTTTTGCCTCCGATGAGGCCCTTCCCGGCCTCCATTCGATGCAAATTTTATACCACTGTGATCACCGTTCTTTTCTCTACAGGTTGATCGGAGCCAAACATCAAAACGCGACTCACGCCGGATGAGCCGCCGCACCCGAGAGCACCACCGCCGGTAAGTCTCGGTTTTACTTCCGTGGCGGTAAGATAGTGTGATGTCTTTACTGGGCTGGTGTAGCTCATTCCTTATTTAACCATTTCAGATCAGGAAAACGTTGTTCCCAAACCCGTTCCATAGGAAGACGGCGAAGGGGACGCCTAAAGACTTCTTAGTTATATTTATAGTTCTTATTTCGAGTATCTATTTTAGTTAGTTTGTTCCTTCATGTTTTGAGTACGTTTTGGTTATATGTAAGAGATGTTAATCAAAATTTTTAATACGCTTCCGCATTTGAGATTTTTAATATATACATTTCATTTAAATTTCTGACGTCCCATCAAATTAAATATGTATGTATACATGGAAATAAAACTATATAAACATGTGGCTTTGTTTTATAATTTGTTATTAACTTCCAGAACGAGTCATTCATTCCTACCTATACATATACGGTGTTTCTTTCCTTTTTCTTTCTTTCTCTTCTTCTTCTTCTTCTTTTCCTTCTCTCTCTTTTTTTTTTTTTTCCGGAAGAAAAAAAAAAGGAACTGCTGTGTTAGGTGTAGGGGTGAATATCTCGGTTATGAAGAAGATTGATAACACAGAATTAACGTGACAAATTAAATAATTAATTAAAATTTGGTGCTGCTTGTAGCAGTCAATACACATGCCTATGCACATTGATGCTTAATTTGGTGA